AGCTTTGCGCGAAATTAAAAAAAAACAAAAACAAAAAACAAAACAAACGTCACGATCAAATCGACCAGTCATCAGAAAGCCAGCTTGCTCAAATAACACGAGTAATATAGTTTATAGAAAATGAGACACCTGGAGAGTCTTGGAGTAACTATTTGTACGTATGTATCAACAGTTTCCTGTCAGTTAATATCATTCTCTAAATCATGGTCAACAATTTATTGAAATACAACTAATAGAGCGAGTAATAGTATTCTTCCAAAACCACAGTTTTAGTGAAAGTTGAATAATGAGATCGTTGATGAAATAACTTATTTTAATTACCTTAATATTAAATATTCTATTGTTTGTTAAAATTTAAGTTAATTTTTTGTTGTATCTCAAATTTATGTTTCCAGCTACTTGCATAGAAAACATTGCACTGTAGTTTTTCGTACAAAAAAAAAAGTCTCCCTAGTGCTACAGCGGTATGTCTGCGAATATACAACGCTAGAAAATGGGTTTCGATACCTGTGATGGGCAGAGCACAGTTAGCCCATTGTGTAGCTTTGTGCTTAACTACAAAAAGAAACAAAACAAATGTACATTAAAAAAAACAAACTTTCCTGTCTGTCGTATTTATTCTATTTCTGTACTAGCACAAATCAACATAAATTCGTAATTATATTACTTTGATTTAACGCTTTATAAGATAACTTCATACTCTCTAGAGGTCGCTCATGGTCAAAGGTTTCGGAAGTCAAATCCGTTGTGAAACTGCCTTACCAAATTCCTGTTGCGTCATACCATCCATTAAATCACAATGAAAGACTTGTTTCGTTGGACTGACTATTGATCTATAAATTCATGATTAAAGAAAAGCCAATTACACTTGGCGGGTCTCCAAAAACGTTTTAATATCGTAAATACTTTTTTTTTTAGGTTTAAAAGCGCTTTCAAGTACTAATGAGATTGATCGTGGCATCGTAGTTAGAGAATCTGGAACACACGACCTAATTTAAATTTCTTATTTTCAAAGGGTTAAAATCCAGTTTATTGTGAAGAACAGATTTAAATAATGAAACATTACCCCAAGTTTACTTGTTTTTACCTTTTATGCTGCCCCCCCCCCAGTGGCTCAGTGGTATGTCTGCGGACTTCCAACGCTAGAATCCGGGTTTCGATACCTGTGACGGGCAGAGCACAGATAGCCCATTGTGTAGCTTTGTGCTTAACTACAAACAAACAAACATACCTTTTATGCTTGCCACCAGCCCCCTTCCCCAGTGGCTCAGTGGTAAGTTTGCAGGCTTACAACGCTAGAATCCGGGTTTCAATACCCGTGGTGTCAGCGTGTAGCTTTGTGTTTAACAACAATCAACTAGCTAACCCTTTATGTTAATTTTTTCACGTTTAACTTGAGTATCTGTATTCATTCCCATAAAAAAAAAAAATGATGTTACACCGGGAGAATTTAAACTCCCTTGGAAGACTTGTTCCAGTTCCGGAACGTCAAAAAGTGTAAATTTCGTGGTTAAGTCCATTTCTCGAGTCATAAGCTCGAAAATTTTAAACTTAACGAAAAGCTTAACAATATCTTATATGTGTAACAAAGAAATTCCTGTCAGTTTTACACACACATATATATATATATAAAGAGAGCGCGAGAGAAAGAGAAAAGGACCGAGACTCGACTTTCACACTCGTGCACGAGAAAATCAGTAACACGGAAGTTCAACATGTATAAGTGTAATTACGTATGTAATGGTAGTTAAATCATATCGAAAGTACTGTTATGTTTCAAGTACCAAGTGAAACACGTTGTCATCAACTGCTGTTGGTGTATGGTGGCCATGCCTATATCAGGAATTGTTTATTAGAGTGGCCATTTCTCAACAGCTGCTTCTTTCAGGTCTCCACTCAAGAAACCCTTATTACGAGGTACGAGGAGCGGCATTGACAAATGACCGACAGAGGGCAGGGCATAGTTTACATTTCAAATGTTAAAGGTTTTTGTCATAATTTCCTATAGACTAGACAAACTATCCTGTATTATACAAATACGCGACATCAATTATAATTTCAACTATTGATTTTTATTTTACAAATAAACGACCTTTAACCCCGGGATAAAATAAACTGTACTCGTTTATTTATTGACTGACATTTTAAACTTTTGATTATTAGCGGGTATATCGAGCAACTGTTCTTGTAAAAGCCAAAATGTTCACCATTATATTTTGTTCTCAGTTCAATTTCTTGTTTGTTTTTAAATGTATAAAACACCCCAGTTGACGTTAAATATATTGAAAACGGAAAAGATAATGTGTGTTTATATATATACACAGAGATGCTACTTTACTTATGAATGATAACTGAGAGAGAATTTCGATAAAGCACAAACTCACCTGTTTCTCATTTCTTCCGTACGCAGAGTCTGATGAGGTCTTCAGTTTAATAGAAGATTTGCTGTTAACAGAACAAGAATACTACAGAACCTTGAGAAGTGTGTGTGACGTGTATGAAAAGCCCTTGAGGTGAGTGTCCACGCTTAGAAACGTCCGTTAATAACGACTACAAAACAAACCTTTGTGGTGAGTATCCATACTCAGAGAAGTCCGTTAATAACGACTACAAAACAAACCTTTGTGGTGAGTATCCATACTCAGAAACCTTCGTTAATAACGACTATAGAACAAACTTTTGTTGTGAGTATCCATACTCAGAAACGTCCATTAATAACGACTATAGAACAAACCTTTGTTGTGAGTATCCATACTTTAAAAATACATTTTAAAAGTTTATACTGTGGTTTGTCTAAGTAAATTGTGAATCGCCTATTTTTCATCATGTTTAATTTTTACTTTTTTTTTTATTCACGGAAGCAAATTATCTTCAGTGAAACGTTTGAGAGAGTGAAAAAAAAAGAAAATTTATTCATATTTAGACTGCTAACTCTTCACGAGTGTCTTTTCAATTTTAATACGTGGTGTTTTCTATGGCGAAGAAAAACATTTGTTGAAAGTGAGTAGCCTAAACGCACCTAAACTGTCTACTTAGCTGACTGATTGATAAAAAAAAACAAAAAACAATCGGCAAGCTTTAACGAGTATCCTATAAATTAATCACGCACCGTAAATAAAAATAATCCGTTCGAAAATCTGACTTTAATCCTGTTGAAGTCGTACCCGTAAACTAGGTCATGACGCAATATGAACACACCCACAAAAAAAAAATATAGTGGACCTAAAAAAAAAAACGAAACTAAAACTGATATAAAAACAATCCCCCTCCTATAAGTTTACGGACTTGGAACGTTAGAATTCGAGGTTCGATTTCTCGCTGTGGACAGAGCACAAATAGTCTGTTGTGTAGCTTTGTGCTAAGCACTTCCTTCCTCCGACTGTAAAAAGGTGACAGTTAAATTTTCTAACCGACACCCCTTACATATTTGTCGGAGATGGACCTAAACACGAGGACAATAAAATAACGATTAAGAAAGAAATATTATTCGGTTAATTTTTTTTTTCAGAGCTACCCTGTATTGTAACCATAACGTAGAAAATGTCAATGTAAAATTTATTAATAGTCTATATATATAATAAGAGGTATAGCTTAAAAACTATTATGTGAACAGGCGATCAAAATTAGCTCTATAAAAACAATGATGACTTTAATATAAATTTAAAACTGTATGTGTACATGTGTGGATGGGACAATGGACGGAGGGTGTTTCTGTGGAGTAACATTAAAGGTAGCGTCTTGTGCTAGCTTAATAATTGTTCTCTGGATACAACCCGAATAACTTGGGTATTTGTGAGGAGACCCTCTCTATTGTAAACAACACGTTTTATGTTTAAGCTTTGAACACACATCCCTAAAAAGGCTTAGTTTTCAATATCGTGGAAACAACACGTTTTATGTTTAGATGTGTGTTCAAAGCGTTTTTGTAGCAGTTTATTTCCATAAATTGAATACATGATTATTAAACAGAGCAGTAAATATGAAAACAAAACTTTGAAGCTGTGGCATGGATAACGCAGAGAGGTGTTTGAATGGAACTTTGATTACAGCGACGTTTTTAGCCTAATACTGGTGGCTCAGCGCTGAGTTATAAACACTAAAAATCGGGTTTCGTACCTGCGGTTGGCAATGCACGGATAGACCATTGTGCTTAACTACAAACAAACATAAATCACCGACAAAGATTAAACGTCATTTTTTTAAGACTTTCTCAAGCAATGACAAACGCGCTATCTATCGGAGACGGAGAGAAGCTCAAGTGACGCAGTTCTGCTTTAGGTGTATAAAAATGATGAGCTTTAATATTTTTATGAATTATCTAAGGTTGGAAACCATACGATAAGGTTTCTACTGTACAAATGTTTTATGTGCAAAATTAGGCTTTATATGTTGAGATTTAAACGTTCTTTTCGACTGACAAATTCTGTTTCGCGGTTTAAATTATAGGTCATTATCCCAGCACACTACGAGTTTCGTTACCGTTTGTTAAGCATGTTTCCATCTTATTCTTCATGAAAAATCTGACACTGTAAAGCTCAGTTTCAGGCTTCAGATTTCGTGTCTCATTTCTGTAAATTCCTTCTGGTAAACCAAAACCTTTTTCTTTGGTTTCCTTTATCATTCACGTGTTGTTGTTTTTTGTTATTTTCGTGTTTGACAAAAAAAAAAGAAAAAAAAAAAGTTACCTTTTATACGAGATGTTCTCGACTTGTGAAATAGATAACCAGTTATAGAAGATTTTAGACTGTTGACACGAGTTATAGTTTATTTAAAATGTTTTATCCTGCTGAAGTAAATATAATTTTACAGGGGCGCTTTAGACTGGTGATGATGGTTACCTTTATCACGATGATGCAAGTAATATTTTGTAGAGGTGGACTGATGAACACACATAACCTTTTCTAGAGGGAATTTTATATTGGTGGAGCAAGTAATATTTGTAGAGGGCGCCCTATATTATTAGCTGCTTTTCGTACAAGTATTTTTTTTTTTCAGAGTGTTTAATGTGATTAGTAAATATGATTTGTTCCAAATAAATCTTTCGTGACTTTATAGGAAATTACTATGTTTCGGACTCGATGAACACAAAGCACTGTTTGAATGGGTGGATCCAATTAGTTCGTTAAGCAATCTGGTAATCAACAAGGTAAGTTATTTGTAATAACATTTATTACATAAAGTAGCTTGTAATTAACATCTGGCGTTTTGGGTCATCGAAGTTGGGCCTGCAAACTCCAGATTCTGTTGTGCGCTTAATACGTTTACTACACAGAATATTCAAAGCAATTCCCATCGCTTTCTTACTTCCCTCTCCTCAGTAGCTCGGCGATAAGTTTGTAGGCTTACGACGCTAAAAATCGAACTTAGATACCCGTGGTGGGAGGAGTACAGGTAGACCACTGCGCTTAACCCAAAACAAAATTTATTTATTGATTTTTATCAACTCTTTTTACACTGTGAATACAGAATATATACAGGTAATCTAACATGTTTAATGCATTTTTAAAGAAAATCAAATTTTCGAATTTTTTTTAGTCTATTAAGAATTTTTTTTTTTTAAATTTGTATTCGTGCTGAAAAAAAAATCCTAAAAATATTGGGTCGTAGTTTCGAATCCCTGTCCCACCAAACATACTCACCCTTTCAGCTGTGGGGAGCGTTATAACGTTACGATCCCATTATTCGTTGATAAAAATGAAGCCCAAGAGTTGGCGGTGAAGACTAGCTGCCTTCCCTCTAGTCTTTCACTGCTAAATTAGATAGCCCTCGTGTAGCTTTGCGCGAAATTCAAAATCAAACAAACCAAAATATTTTATGGTTGTATTTTTTTTCTAAGGGTTACGATTTTTTTATTAATGTTCAAATAAAAAAAATGCTGTTATCAACAAAGTTTTAATGTTGTTGTTTGTTAACATTTACAATCTATACAAAATAGCTTATAGAAAAACGCGAAGAAGACATCTACGCGATCTGAAATAATACAATATTTTATTGGTGATGATGTATATAACGTTTTGTTCTATTGGTCAAGATGACTGTGGCGTCTATGTTAACTTCACGAGGCCTAAAGTAACGCGATATCTTATTTGTGGAGATGTACACGACGTTTCATTTTATTGGTCAAGATAGTTATACATCTATAACATTAACCAATCCTTAAAATAGATATTAAAATGGTTATAACAGTGAAACTAATCGGTATTTAGGTTTAAAACAGAAACACCAAATATCCACCTGGACCCCCCCCCCCCTACGAAGGTTCTAATGAAAGAATAATGAGCTTGATAATTCAAGTAAAATAATAATAATTAATAATGTATGGTGGTAAAATAAATAAATAATATGTTGTTAAAAATCTTTACAGAATTTCAATGTGACATACTTAAAGAAAAATTATAAAAATTGACACTTCAACAATTGAACCCAGTTCTCATGGTAATAAACTGTTGGCAAGCATTTTGCTAATATAAATACAGTTTCAACCATCACTATGTCTGTCGTATTACAGCCAGCCTGAAGAGCTTTAGTATTGGTTGAAAGGCCTGGTTAGGAATTTTTATTAATATCGAGCATAGGCTTTGTATATATAGAAGATATAATATAGTTAACATATTAAACACTGTACTTTCACTCAAACATTTTTATTGGTATTGGCGAGAGGTCTCGTCGGCACTGGTTATATCAGATATAATCTAGTTGACATATCATTATACAATTGTTTGCTTTCATTCAAAATTTTTTATTAATAATTACAGTCGCTGAAGCGTGAATACCAACACCTTATAATAGGTTAGTCGAGACTTCCACATCAACAAGCACTTCGCAAACAATTATGGGTAATAATCTCCATACTCCATCTAGTGATTGGGACGGAAACTAGTTCTTGTGATTTAGTGTTTACGAGGATTCTATTCATATTATCATCGTTTGTAAGCTTAAAGTTTACATTTCTGTCAGGGTGGAAATTATACAGAGAATGTGTGTAGCTGTCAAATTCATCGTATCTACAAGAGAAAATCTACTCTTACACTATCCCATCTCGCTCATAAAAAAAAAGAAGAATTTTCTACTAAGCCTTCATTAAATTCGAAGAACCTCAATTGTTACTTTCCTTTAAAATAAATTCTTGTTGGTTAAAGATTTAATCTACAACAGTACAAGAGGTATTTGGTTCGGATCACGGCAAAAGATAACTCGGAATCAGTCTGTCTGTCTCTTGAAAGACGGATTTACTTTAAAAAAGATAAAATGTGGGGTGTAAATAATAGAGTTAACCAGATTTTAGGTCGCACGACAGCATTATTGTGTGTTATTATTAGACTGTTATTGCACAATTTAGATAAGACACTTTCACTAACTCTTACCTGAGAAATTTCGCATACATGTCACTGTATTATTCTACTGTAATTTTAGGTTATGCCTTAACCATTTGTTTCCTTTGTGCGATGTAAATTTAGTACGTTGTGTCTTACGCGCACGGAACCAGAACACACACACTTTCACTCCTTTTGCGGTTTTGTTTCCTTCAAAAAACTTTGTATTATTGTTATTATTTACAAGCTGAATTATTGCTATTTACTTACACGAAATGTTAATTGATTTGAATTTCTTAAACTAAAGATCCTGTATGTTAACCCTAGAATTACTTAATTTCTGTTATTTTACATTCAGAATTCAACAACATTCACGCTCTAGTTTACTAAAATCTAAGTATTTAAGTTGTACAGCTTTATATTGAACTCGTCTGAATTTGTATTCAACTCTAACCACAAAGTGAAAACCCGTATTAATATTACTGATTTAATAACGGTTATCTCCTAAACTTAACCTAAATTATTCACAAAGATTAACGTTGCGTTAGGCCTAGGTCTGACCGACTAGGTAACTAGCTCTGTTAGCAGCTCCCTCTGCTTAAATAATAACTCATTTTAATATTTATTTTATTAACTTTTGAAGTTAACCTTTTTAATAAAATACTGAGTGAAAGTAAACTGAAAACGTCAGCTTTTGGACTCGTACTTATGGTTAATTAATTTACAGTTTAAGTCCAAAAAAGTATCTTAAAATTTAACCTAATTATGAAATTCAAACAGTGTTTATGTTGTTAACTAAGACGTTTTAAAGTTGCCCATATTTATCAATTTTTTTTAAAACGTGTGTTTCTAAACTATGCACCAAATTCCTTATGGGTTCGTGACTTTGTTGGTTACGACTAATAACATACGAGCCAAACAAAGAATGCAAAGAAAAACACCATCAATATTGCTGAGAATATAAAATGAGTTGAGCCAAGCGCAGCTAAGTAATTAACATGCTTCCGTATAATAATAAAAAGCGTTCGTGGGTGCATTATGAAAGTGACGATTACATTCAATTATTCGATTACAGTAGCCTTTCCTCTGGTCTTTCGCTTCCAAATTAGGGGGGCAGCTAGCTCAAGTACCACTCGAATAGTTCTGCGTGAAATTCCATAAAACGGAAAATAACTTGTATCACTCCCCCCGTTTTTTTGGGGGGGGAGGTCATTTTTTGGAAATTAGTTTGTAAGAGGTCAAGACATAAAATTACCCTATATGTGGACTCCTCCACCGGTAATGAATGCTATGAAAAACAAGTCTATCACTTGATGGTCAACAGGTAACGTGAAAAATCATTTCTAATATAATTGAGATATCGAATTTCTGCCATCACAGTATTTTAATACATTAAACATTGAAATTCCACGTTTTCCTGCCAAAATATTTTCCATTCCAGGTTTTAGAACCATCACATGGTATTTGTTATTTCAGATGTTTAGAATATCCCGATAAGATATACCATTGTCAGAGTGTCTTTATTATAATATTATAGTCATTTAGGCTATTAATATTTTATATTACGTGTTTTAAGAGATATGACATTATGAATGTTTATAGACTTCCTGAGAACATACGTATATTAATTATTAATCAATACAATATGTTTTCTAATAGCTACAGGTGGTACTGCGAGATTGGGATCCTTTAAGATCGAGAGTTGGTAAGTAAAAGAAGAAATAAATAATCGAATACGAACAAGTTAAAGTTTATTCGCAGTTTTGAGCTCAACTGCAGTTGTAAAATTCTTTATAATGTGTTAAAAATTTCCGGAATTGATATGAACTGATTATAGTATCTTTATGTTACACTAGAGGGCGCTAGAAGTGTCCTATATAAATAAATATGAAAAGTTTTAAACGCCTAACTGCCTAAAGCTATTATTTGACTTTCAGAACACGTGTAATAAATACTACACAATAGTTTGATCATTCGCCTGTCTTGTTTTAAAAAAGCAGAAAGGTATATTTAAACGAATTTGTTATATTACCTTTATAAACTTATTTTGAAATATTTGTACTTTGTTTGCTGCATAAAGTCTTGGACTGGAGTATGTAGTTTATCATCCAGTAGATGTTTCATCAGTATTATTGCAACATTATAAAACTAGCTAAATAAGGTATCGATTAAGACTCGTCAATCGGGTCACAATATCAATAACGGAAATGTGGTGACTATCATTAAAAAAGAAAAGTTAATAAATATGAATTATTTTCCTTAGCCTCTGTTCGTTTTTATGTGATATTTTGAGAACGTTAATTAATCAGCCTGTTTGTCAAAACTTTCACGAGTATTGCTATGTTTTGAGAACAAACGGAATTATACAAGTTATAGTTATGTATATACGACTTAGCCCACATCTTAATTCGTCATTCCTAGTGGTCCGGTTATAAATAATGTTTGATACCTTCTGTTTTCGTTTAAGCATGTGATGGCTTCTAATCGTTATTTCATTTTTAAGAAAGAAAATTATGTAAAACATACAATTTAGGTTCCGTGATTGATTTCTAAATATATTTCACTACAGGGAATATTTTCAGCAAGCACCTGTGGACAAAGTATGGAGAATACCAAGACCATCTTGCTTCTGTGGCAGTTCCGTGAGTTTTAATAAAAAATATCAGCTTTTAGTAGCTTTTTTTATTGAGAGTAGGTAAAAAATATGTTGGAACACAGTAACGATAAAAAAATAAAAAATAGTGACATATTTTCCCACAAGATGGCACTTTAAGTAACTGAAAATCTTGGTTTATATTTCAAAGTCTGTTTAAGAAAATGATGCTTCGACTAAAAGTGGAATATGGGTAGCAAATAATATTATTTCTAAAGTGTTTGTCCCTTTTGTCACAGACGAGTAAAAAGTCAACCAGAATGCTTGGTATTAGTGAATGGATTTCTACAACAATAATTTGTCAGTTAGATGTTAATTTTGGCCGGCAGATGTCGACACGTAGTCGTTATTTTATTTGTATTAGTCATGAAGCATTTGTCTTGTACTTTACAATGAAAAAAAATACCATTCTCTCTCTCTTCTATATATATATATGGGTGTGTGAATGTAAATAGCCGATGAAAATCTGGCTATAGAAAGAGAGTGAGTAATACGTTTTAAAAGAATAAAGACATCTGTGCCATTTTTTTTTGGGTCATTTTCTATTACACTTATTATTAATAATTATTTTATTATCCGCTAGATTACTTAAAGAAAAGGAATCCAACGACGAAGAATTTTTGGCATTGTGCCAACAGAGACAGGGGGCTACAAAGTATTCCCTCCAGGACTTTTTATTCTTACCGGTAGGTGGCATAATTATTTCCAAAACTGAGACCAGAAAGAAACCAACTGTAAATAAATGCTTTAGTATGACCTAAATTTTTCGAACACAATCGATTGTTTTTAGAGGAAAAATCAATTATCGAATTAAGTAACCATAAAATATTTCAGCAAAACTATTATTAGTTTTTATGATGGTTAAATTTACAATGTTTTTATGACAGCGTTTTTTCTGGTCACAGTAAATTATCGCTAAAAAAAATAAATTCGGAATTAAAAATAACACCAGCCTTATAGTATGTCACCCATTCTGTTGCACACACGTGATGCCCCATCGTTTTGTGGGGTTATAGAAAACATGGACTTTAAAAAAAAAAAAGACTGTTTACGTAACTGAATGTTCTGGTAACAACCAGCTGTACGCATGTTTCTTCATTTATTATTCGACTTTCTATCGAGAATATCACCCACGATCGTTCCTTGAACTGCTAGGCTGTTCGGCCTCGTGGAATCGGTACGCTGCTGTGGTTCGTGTAACACTTAACCACAATACAACAAGCACGAGGAATGTGACCTCAGAAGTGGTCATAGTGACCACACCTCTTAATACGATTTAAAGAAAAGACTTTAAACAACAGTAGCTTAGCAGTAAGTGTGAAGGCTTATAACGATAAAAACAGGGTTTCGATACTCGTGGTGGGCACAGCAAGATAGCTTATTGTGTATCTTTGTGCTTAATAACAAACAAACAACTAATTGAAGTAAGATGGCCTGATAGCTTCCAAGAAAATCGTGTTACACTAGTGTTTTAAAAGGAGAAAATACTTATTTGAATTGCAAAAGTTAAAGTTTACGACAACCAGTTCCCCAGCGAGTATTTGGTACTTGCATACATGTAATTATTCCGTTGTCATGGTTACTAGCCCATATGATTACCTAAGCCTAATTATTAACTATATTTTTTATAAGTACATACTAATTAATAAATAATAATAAAATCTTAGACAAAAAAGGAGAATAGGAGAATAATGAGAAATCCCCCCCCCAAAACCTAACTAAAATTGACACCAATAGAATGAATACCTAAAAGTTTCCAACCAGAGTACTAAAATGATTTCCACCTAGTGTAAATAGGTTTAGCTTAGAGTTAGAGGGGGGGTCTGATTGAGGTGTTTACGATTGTAAAGGGAATTGATAGTGTTGATGCATCATCTTTTTTCATATTTAACAATGAGAATAGTAGGACTAGGGGACATAATTATAAATTTTGGCAAGGTAGGAGTCATCTTCAGCTAAGACGGTTTCATTTTTCTAACAGGGTGGTTGGTCTTTGGAATGGGTTGCCGTCAGATGTTGTAGAGGCAGTAAATTTAAGTAAGTTTAAGAAAAGGCTTGATAAGTATATGAAAGATAAGAGCTGGCTTTAAGATTTAAAAAAAAAATTAGTTTAGAGGATGGAACAGCCGAGATGGACCAGTAGGGCCCCATGTTGTCCCAAAACATTATGTTAAAAACGTTTTATATTATTCATTTCAGTAGGTTTCTCACTAAACACTAATTGATATTGAAACATAATCAATGAAATTTAATAATGACCCATAATCCAAACTACATTTTAGAAATAATGACCCATAATCCAAACTACATTTTAGAAATAATGACCCATAATCCAAACTACATTTTAGAAATAATGACCCATAATCCAAACTACATTTTAGAAATAATGACCCATAATCCAAACTACATTTTAGAAATAATGACCCATAATCCAAACTACATTTTAGAAATACAGATTGGTTGTAATAAAGTCAGTATGATTTATTTCAAGAGTCTGTAAAACGAATATTTAACGTACCTGGGTAATGGATCAAGTGATTGGGTGTTAGGGACAACATTAGGGTGTTACCACCATTTTCCAGTACCACGACCACTTAACAATGGCCTCAGATGCTCCAATACATTAAATCTCCTCAGGAGTCTCAGTCAGGTAAAGAATGCTTGCCGGGTTTTCAGAAAGCCACGTAACCAGTGGTCAGCAGGGGAGCATAGCGAACAGTCGGGCTGAAATATCCAATGCTATTTTTAGAGTGGACGTAATAATATTAATTAATGATGGCGCCACCATTAGTAGTTTTAGGCAAAGGCTAATCTTCGAATCCGAAATAAATGTGTGTTCACTTTGGTGAGATAGGACAGCCCAAAACACTCCACAAATACATTAGGCCTAATCTTTATCCCTTCGATTTGTCCTTGTTCAGAGTTGCCGATGAGGGATTCGAATTCTACGAAACCGGTATAGATGAGTGATAACTGGTGAAGCGAATAATAGTGTTTCACAGTTATTTTTAGTTTCTTAAACAACTTTTCTGTTACGTAATGTTAGAATAACAACTTAGTAGCATAAACGCTATAATCTTTAAAGCCTATATAAATATAAGTCCACCGTTGAAAGTAAACAAAAAAAAAAAAATCTCAAAACATAGCATATAAACCACCATTATGAGAAACTTGTCTGGTTCGTACAACACTACACACAACTTCGGTGTACTCTCACGAGTCCATGGTCGTTCTGTTTCATCCAGAAAAAAACACCCTATGAAAATGTGTCGCTCTTTTTAATAAGGAACAGTGTATGTAGAGAAAAGTCCGTTTAAAATTCTACATATTAATTTACCTACGTTACGAGTCTTAAACAACAGTATAACTCGAATTCTTGAATAACTTTAGTTTCCTGCCTTTTTTTTATTTATTTTTCGTTCTTTTACATTCTTTATCACGGAGTCAACTACCTTTGCGAGGTTTAAAGAAGCAGAAGCATGACGTCACACCAACGCTCGTTTTTTTTCCCTCCCTCGTCTTACATTTCACTTTTCGCTACGTTTAGTAACCTTGACCGAGGCCAGGTGGCTTCAGCCACATGGGTATGTTTTCTTATAAATTCCTGTGGAAGGTAAACAACGCTCTGATATTTATGGGTTTTAAGACACCTTGTCTACCAAAAAAGTAATGTGTCAGCCACTGTGTGGAAAAGGCTTATCATTAAGAGACGCTTCTTACTCCCATTTCACTCCTTGTTTTTTTTTTTTAAGTCCTCTATGAAATTCGTTATCTGTTTCTTGCCACTCAGGTGACACCCTCTACAAAGATGAACGACTGTCGGGGAGGTGCCAAGGTGGGTGGTGCTCTTGGTCGTTGAACTGAGAAGTTTCGATACAACAGAGTAAAAACAGCTGGTTGTTTGTTGAAAATAATTAGAAAAACCTCTGGTTGTTGCTATCAGCGTAAGTCACAGTTCTCCTAATGAGCATGTAAATACTGTAATTTCAAAAATGAACAGATTATTAAAGCCCCGTTGAAGACGAGAATTCCTTCTGGCGTACATCTCATGACGTTTCTTTCATTTTTTTTTGGAGGGGGGGGGGTCGTATCATAATTACCTACTGCAGCCCATATTTGACTTGTTATTATTCATATTACCTTCTTTAAATAGCCGAGTTTAACTTGCCGGACTGTGCAGTCGAGGTTCCTTGGTTCGCGTCCCATTACCGTAAAGAAATCGCGATCTGGGTTTGGGTGTGTTATAAATGTGACGGTCAAATCCCATCACTCGTTCTGACAAGAGTAGGCGGTGGGTGGCGTTCAGAAGCTGCCTTCCCTCTAGTCTATCATTTCAAAATTAGGGACGACTAGCGCAGATGGCTCTTGAGTTGCGTCGTGTGAAATCTAACGAACAGAACCTTGTTTTAAATATAATATCGAATAATTCTTATCAGGATTATGGCTATATTGTTGTCCCTTTCTCAACTGTTTCTTTTTTGAATTTCGCTCAAAGTTACTCGAAGTAATAGACTAGAGGGAAGGCAGCTAGTCATCACCACCCACCGCCAACTCTTGGGCTACTCTTTTACTAACGAATAGTGGGATTGACCGTCAGATTATAACTCCCCCACGGCTGAAAGGGCGAGCATGTTTGGCGTGATAGGGATTCGAACCCGCGACCCACAGATTGCGAGTCGAGCGCCCTAACCACGAGGCCATGGCAGGACTTTCTCAACTGACAGAAACGGGTCTAATTGTTATAACCTCATGAGGAACGGTCAATATTGTTATTATTTGCCCCAAGTGATTGATACAGATGTGATTTATACTATTCTATATTCGTAGCATAATGACCTGGGGGTCAATGTTATTGTTCCTTGCTTCTCACAGTTTCGGGCCCGGCATGGCCAGGTGGTTAGGGCGCTCGAATTGCAATCTGAGGGTCGCGGGTTCGAATCCCCGTCACACCAAACATGCTGGCGTTATAATATGACGGTCAATACCACTATTCATTGTTAAAAGAGTAGCCCAAGGGTTGGCGGTAGGTGGTGATGACTAGCTGCCTTCCCTCTAGTCTTACACTACTAAATTAGGGACGGCTAGAGCAGATAGCCCTCGTGTAGCTTTGCGCGAAATTCAAACCAAATCCTGACAGTTTCGGGCAATGGCGTAAGTATGCTCCCGCAATTACGAGGGGGGGGGGCGAATCGGCCTAAAGCATAACTGCTATTATAAGGAAATAAATGTAGGGGGGCCCAATTACTTTTCAAATAACGCCACTGGGTTTTTCAGAAAACTGGTATTTTCCTCAACGTGACAGAGTCATTTGGTATGCCAGAAGAAATTTTAGTTGTGAAATACCCGTCATTGTCAGGAACGTATTAGACTTTGTACTCGAGCTAGTTAAGCACGTAGAAGTCATTGTTAAGGTTCTCTTATTCTACTAGCTGTTATTTGTAACTTTACACTTTGCTGTCGAGGTTTAATTTCTTACTAGCATTTGGTAACAAAAATGGAGTAGAGAAAAAAAAAAAGAATTTCTGAAATGTCTGCGTTGTTTGCCTGAAAAAAAAAGAAACAAAAAAAGAAATGCATACGCGTTTATTATTTAAATAAATTATCGAAGATTAAAGTTTCATACGAACTGTAAGTCGCCGAGGTAAATATATATATATATATATAAAAAAAGGTTGTAAGTCAGTGG